ATATTGTCAAATCTAAAACACAGGTATTTATATTTGCCATCAATGATAAATGAAAACATGTCAAATGGCAGCTTTTAGGGATGTTTTTTATTATTTGAAAATGATCTGATGCCATTAATAATTCTCATCCTATTTTTTAATCTGAACAAAAGAGAACAGTATTAAAACTATTTACTAGAGTAAGCAGAAGCAATTTTTAGCAAGCATCTGCTTCCTGCTTTCAATAAAATTTAAATAAACAGGGCATTCATAAAATAAATTTTGAATGTTGATGAAATAAGGAAACAGATTTACATGGATAGGGAGTAGGAATGTTCCCGAAAGAACATAAACAAGTAAAAGTATGACACAGTAGCACGTTACCAGAAACTGAACTACAGATAGAATCAACCTTACAAAAATTTCAATCTGTAAGAAAATAAAAAAATATTCTTAAGAAGATACATACAGAGCAAAACCAAAGGAACAAAACAACAGCAGACTCACAGACTCCAAAAAGAGACTAGCAGTTACCAAAGGGGAGGGGTGGGGGAGAGCTGATAGAGAGGGAGGGAAAAGGGGATTTAGGGGTATTATGATTGGCACACACGGTGTGGGGGGGAATTATGGAGAAGACAGTGTAGCACAGAGAAGGCAAATAGTGACTGTGTGGCTTCTTACTACACTGATGGACAGTGACTGCAGTGGGGCATAGGGGGGACACGATAATATGGGTGAATGTAGTAACCACATTGTTTTTTCATGTAAAACCTTCATAAGAGTATATATCAACAATACCTTAATAAAAAAAGATACGTAAAGTAAAAATAAAAATACAACCCAAATAATATCCACTAAAATAGGACAGATTGTGGGAAAGGAAGTAAAATACACTTTTTTATGTTGTTTAACATTGTAAATCATTCCCCACTTGACACCCCTGCCCTCATTGTTCTGCTCTATTTTTCCCCATAGCACTAATAGTCATAGAATGTACCATAAAAAAATCTAACATCACATAAAAATTACTTATGCTTATTGTTGCCTGTTCTCTCAACTAGAATGTAAGACTGGAATGTCAAAAAAGGCATGAAAAGAATGCCTGACTTCCGTGACCTGTAAATATTGCAGGAGTTAAGTGAAAAATGTCATGACCTGTGGCTTTCACACAAAAGACCAACAAAACTATGAGAACTTCAGAGTGGTAGCTAAGAGAGGTGCTAATGCCTCAAATTTTGATCATATCTCTCAGTTAAGCTGAGAGTCTAATCAAAAAGGTGAATGGTTAAAAAGAAAACTACAGACCCAAAATGGAGTCAGTTATACTAGGTCAAGTCACCAAACGAGAGCTTAATACCTAATTGTAGTTTCGACCTTCCCCAGGCTTGTAGTTTTAACTGGTCAGTCAGGAATTTCCTGGTAAGTACCAATGAGGAAATCTGTCACATGGGCCATCTCCATTCCCCAAAGGAAGATGAGGTAACTCACCTACTAAGACCCTCTGCCCTTTCCCCCAGGGGAAGTTGATCCCGCCTGAAACAATTGTTTTCATTTACTTGTTTTCCTACTGTTTCTGCCAATAAGCTACCTACATTTTGTACAGCTCCTTGGAGCTGCCCTTTACTTCTAGACAGTATGCAGCCTGACTCATAAATTGATTAATAAAGCCAATCAGATCTTTAAAATTCTGTGTTGAATTTTTGTTGTGTAACAATAGATAGTTATCATAATCAAGATGGTAAAATACTGATATATGGACAGACAGATACCAATATGATATACAGAACCTGGAAACAAAACAGCACAAGTATGCTTAACTAATTTTTGAAAAAAGAGAAAAAGCAGTTCAGTGGGGTAAGGGGTAGCTTTTTCAACAAATGATGGTGTAGCAATTAGATATCCATAGACTGAAACAAAACAAAAAGAAATTTCAAATGAAACCCCATACCTTATACAAAAATTCGTTCATAATTGAACATTTTTCCTTTTTTTCCAGCTCTATTGAGATAAAATTTATTTTTTGTGGCTTTATTAAAATAAAATTGACATATGACATTGTGTAAGCTCAAGGTATACAATATATTGATTTGATGCACTTACATACTGTAAAATGATGAGCAACATAGCATTAGCTAATTCTTCCATCTCACCATGTAATTACCATTTCTGTTCTGTGGTGAGAACATTTAAAAGCTACTCTCTTAACAAGTCTATAATACAATATTATTAACTATATCATCATGTTGTACATTAGATCCCCAGAACTTACTTACTTTATAACTGAAAGTTCATACCCTTTGACCAATATCTCCCCATCCGCCTCCTAACCTCCCCAGGCCCTGGTAACCACCATTATACTCTGTTTCTACGAGTTTAGCTTTTTAGATGCTACATAACTGATATCATATAGTATTTGTTTTTGCCTGACTTATTTCATTTAGCGTAATTTTTCCAGGTTCATCCATGTTGCTGCAAACAGCAGGATTTCCTTCTTTTTGTGGCTGAACAGTATTTCATTGCATATATGCCACATTTTTTCTTTTTATCCATTCATCCATTGACAGAAAGTTAGGTTGTTTCCATGTCTTGGCTGCTGTGAGTAATGTTGCAATGAACATGGGAGGGCAGACAACTCTTTGAGATCTTTATTTCATTTCCTTTGGACATATATCCAGAAGTGGGATTACTGGATCATATGGTAGTTCTATTTTTTATATTCTTAGGAAACTCCACAGTTTTCCCTAGTGGCTGCACCAATGTAAGTTCTCCAACAGTGAACCAGAGTCCCTTTTTCTCCCTTTGTTCTCCAGCACTTAACCCCTATCTCCCCCACCCAATTTTATTAAGACATATAACATTGTATTAGTTTAACTTGTACATGATATATGTATATTTTGTGATGTGATTACCACAATAAGTCTAGTTAGCATCCATCACCTCACATAGTTATAATTTTTTTCTTGTGATGAGAACTTTTAAGATCTACTCTTAGCAACTTTCAAATATATAGTACAGTATTGTTAACTATAGTCACCATGCAGTACATTATATTCCCCAAATTTCTTGTACCTTTTGACCACCTTCACCCATTTCTCCCACCCCTTTCCCCCTGCCTCTGGCAACCACAATATTTTCTGTGTTTCTATGAGTTCAGTTGTTTTAGATTTCACATATAAGTGATACATATCGTATTTGTCTTTCTCTGCCTAACTTATTTCACTTAGCATAATGGCTTCAAGGTCCACTCATGTTGTTGCAAATGGCAGGATTTCCTTCTCTTTATGGCTGAATAATATTCCATTGTGTACATATATGCCACATCTTCTTCTTTTATTCAAGCATCAGTGGACACTCACATCATTTTCAAGTCTTAGCTATTTTGAATAATATTGCAGTGAACATGGAGGCAGATATCTCTCAAGACAGTGATTTTGTTTTTATTTCTGTGAAAAGTGCCATTGGAATTTTAATAAGGATTGCATTAAATCTATAGATGGCTTGGGGTAGTATGGACATTTTAACAATATTAATTCTTCCAATCCATGAACGTGAGATGTCTTTCCATTTGTTTCTGTGTTCTTCAATTTCTTAAATCAAAGTCTTGTCATTTTCAGTGTATAGATTTTTTTATTAGTTAAATGTGTTCCTAACTATTTTGTTATTTTTTGATGCCTTTGAGATTTTTAGCTAAACTACTCTGTAACACTGCTACCTCAGTATCCATTTTGTCAAGAGGCCTGCAAGGCCTGCATTGACACTAAGTCCTCCCACAAAAGCATGCACTAAATAAGAGCCCCAAAATCATAAGTAAATGTGTTACTGATATGACTCCCTCAGTGGCCCTTGTGATAAACAGCCTGCCCACCTCACACTGCCTTCTCTTTGTGAACCTCTTAGAAAAGATATCCAGAAGCATACATTGCTGTGTGCTTGGTATTTTTATATTTCTGGTCCTTTGTTCTGGGATGCAGTTTTGTTACTTAGAAACAATTTGATCATTTTGTGTCTTGTTTTTAAGATTTGTTAGGTGGAACCCAAGAAGTATGTAGTCCAGAGATAATTATTTCCCATTACTGAGGAGAGATACTTCTGTTTCCTCTACCCAATGCCTTGCAATATTGAGATTTCCCTGTACGGCTAGTGAGAATGGTGAGAACAGTCACTTTTCCTGGGCCTATGTGAATGATGGGAATTTCTACCTCTAATCCTTTAACCCTACAAGGCCATGGATAGTTTCCTCACAGGAATGAACCATTACTCAGCTGAACACCTAAGAGTACACTCTCTTCTCCAGTACTCTGTTCTGTAAACTCTAGTGGCCTTGATCTACTTAGACTCTTAGCTCTATATCCTCACCTCAGGGAATCTATTGGGATCTCTTCCTGGGCTCCTTCTTCCTGCCTGTGGACTGGAAATTCTCAGTGCAGTAAGCTGAGACACCATTGGACTCACCTTATTTATTTTTCATATCTCAAGGATCACTTACTTTCATTGCCAGATATCCAGTGTCTTGAAAACCATTGTTTCATATATGTTGTCCTTTTATTGTTGTTTCATATAGGAGGAGAAATCTGGACCTATTACTCTGTGTTCTTTGGAAGCAAATGTCTTGCACACAGTTTAAAAGTAATCATCATTGGTGTACATTGACGGCAATGGGGTGTGGTAGGGGGACTTTATAACATGGGTGAATGTTGTCACCACAATGTGCTCATGTGAAATCTTATTAAGAATCTATATAAATGATACCTGAATTTAAAAAAAAGTAATCATCACTGGGGAAATCTCTGGCATCTCAGAATGTCAGAACTCTCAATAATTTGCCCCTACAAGGGAGAATTTAATCCTGGAGTCAATATTCTATGTATTCACTGAACACCCCCTTTACGATTGTGTGAAAGACCTCATGTTGTCAGTATATCTAATCTACCATAGATATGGAATTTACAGACATGCTTTAATACAACTTCAATAAAGGCCAGGTTTTAAACTTCAGGGGTTTTCAAGCCAAGAAACATTCCAGAAAATGTTTGCTGCTCTTTATCATCTGTCTTTTCACACAATCTCATTCACTCACAGGGTGGGAGAGTTTCCACATTTTCTCTTGACTTCTGGTCACATAATTTAGGTCTGCAAATGAAATCAAAATGCAGAATTGAGCCTATTATCTAAATTATTTGGCCTTCAGTCTCTTTGAACCCCCGGACCTAAATAAAATCCAGAAAAAGATGTGTGAAATACTCATAAATACCAAGCAAAAATACTTGAGAGGTTGCCTTCAAAATAGTTAAAATAATTTCTCTGTGATTCCTACTAGAAGCTTTTTTCCTCAATGTATAGTACTCTTCCAGGTGGTTTGAGTATATAAAAAAAATAGCTCATGAAGAACTGCAAAATATGAAGGGAGAAATATTACATATTTAGTACTAAGGGGATGTTGATTAAAGGATCCCCTGGGGATGCTAATAATTGGGTTCAGAATAAACTCAGTGAAGTAGAGGCAGATGCAAGAGGATTAAAGGTGGCAGCATGAGAGAAGAGATAGAGGCTTCCTCCTAAAACTGCATATAATATGAAAATGTAATAAATACCACTAATCCTGAAAGAGCAACAGTAAAGAAGACTGCACCAGACTGCATAAACCTGGAGAAAAGAGCAGACCTCACAGAATAGGGTAACGTACCAAAGCTGTGACCCGATGTGACTTAGCCCTTCCCCCACCCCAACTCACTGGCTGGAGGAAGAGAAATGGAGCTCAGGAGGGGATGGAGGCCTGGGACTGCTGAATACATAACTCCAGAGATCTGCTCGGGGAGCACAAACCTACATTTCATGGTGCTTTCATGATACTCTTGTGATTAGGGGATTGGAAAGCTAAGACAGGCAGAATTCCTGGAGAGATTGAGATTCCAGCCACTTGTGGAAAGCAGGGATCCATATCCAGCTGCTCTGGGACAAAAGAAAGGCAGGCAGTCTGAGAGACTTACTAACAAGGAAGCCCTTAGCAAGAGAGCTGCTAAAGGAGCAACGATTGCACAGAGCTTAATGCTCAGGAGAAAGGACAGGTAGACAAAATTGTCTCAGTGCACTCTGCCCAGCAGGCTGGGAGCTTTCACGATTTCCAAGTGCTCCAGGTACCTGGATGGCTACACGGCTCCAAGGACCCCCTCCGTGATAGGCAGCCTACTGTGCCTTTCTCCCAGCCAGCCTCAACTGGCTCTCAAACTGGCAATCCCTACCCTGGCATTAGGCCAGCCAGAGGGAAGATCTGTCCACACAACTACAAACATAAAGCATAGAGGCTTATACCTGTGCAGCTCTTTCCTCCCCCCAGGCACCAATACCACTCCCCGGTGACCCCCGACATTGTTTCAGGGACTGAGCAGCTCCAGAGAGTAGAGCTTCTGGACACTAAAGGGTGCCATATACAAATATGAAACACCAAAGGAAACTGGTACAGAGTAAAATTAATATAACTCCTGAGAAAGATGACATGGACCTCGTGACTCTTCCTGAAAGGGAGTTGAAAATAAAACTAATTAACATGCTAATGGAGGTACGGAAAGATATTCAAGAACTCAGGAATGAATTCTGGTTGGAGATCCAATTGTTGAAGAGCACAATGGAGGCTATTAAAAGCAGATTGGATATGGTGGAGGAGACGATAAATGAAATAGAAACTAGAGAAGAAGAATACAAAGAAGCTGAGACACAGAGAGAAAAAAGGATCTCTAAGAATGAAAGAATATTGAGAGAACTGTGTGACCAATCCAAACAGAACAGTATTTGCATTATGGGGGTACCAGAAGAAGAAGAGAGAGAGAAAGGGATAGCAAGTGTCTTTGAGGAGGTAATTGCTGAAAACTTCCCCAATTTGGAGAAGGAGATAGACTCTCAGGCCATGGAGGTGAACAGATCTCCCAAAACAAGGGACCCAAGGAAGACAACATAAAGGCATACAGTAATTAAAATGGCAAAGATCAAGGATAAGGAAAGACTATTAAAAGCAGCCAGAGAGAGAAATAAGATCACGTACAAAGGAAATCCCATCAGGCTAACATAGACTTCTCAGCAGAAACCTTAGAGGCCAGAAGGGAATGGCATGATGTATTTAATGCAATGAAGCAGAAGGGCCTGGAACCAAGATTACTTTATCCAGCAAGATTATCATTTAAATTTGAAGGAGGGATTAAACACTTTCCAGATGAGCAAAAGCGGAGTGAATTTACCTCCAACAAACCATCTCTACAGTCTATTTTGGAGGGACTGCTACAGACGGAAGTGTTCCTAAGGTTTGATAGCTGTCACCAGAGGTAATAAAACCACAGTAAAGAAAGCAGAACAGCTAATTACTAAGCAAATGTGAAATTAAATGAACTATCCCCAAAGTCAATCAAGAGATAGACAAAGAGTACAGAATATGATACCTAATATATAAAGAATGGAGGAGGAAGAAAAAGGAGGAGCAAAAAAGAACCTTTAGATTGTGTTTGTAATAGCATATTAAGTGAGTTAAGTTAGACTCTTAGATATTAAGGAAGTTAACCTTGAACCTTTGGTAAACATGAATCTAAAGTCTGCAATGGCAATAAGTACATACCTATCAATAATCACCCTAAATGTAAATGGACAGAATGCAACAATCAAAAGACTTAGAGTCACTGAATGGATAAAAAAACAAGACCCATCCATATGCTGCCTGCAAGAGACTCACTTTAAACCCAAAGACATACACAGACTAAAAGTGACGGGATGGAAAAAGATATTTCATGAAACTAACAGAGAGAAAAAAGCAGGAGTTGCAGTACTTGTATCAGACAAAATAGACTTCAAAACAAAGAAAGTCACTAGAGACACAGAAGGACATTACATAATGATGAAGAGGTCAAGCCAACAAGAAGATATAACCATTATAACTATCTATGCTCCCAACACAGGAGCACCTACATATGTGAAAAAAATGCTAATTGAATTAAAAGGGGAAATAGAATACAATGCATTCATTCTAGGAGACTTCAAAACTCCACTCACTGAAGGACAGATCAACCAGACAGAAGATAAGTAAGGAGACAGAGGCACTGAACAACACAATAGAACAGATTGACCTAACAGACATCTATGAAACTCCACAACCCAAAGCAGCAGAATACACATTCTCTCAAGTGCACATGGAACATTTTCAAGAATAGATCATATACTAGGCCACAGAAAGAGCCTCAGTGAATTCAAAAAGATTGAAATTCTACCAACCAGTTTCTCAGACCACAAAGGTATGAAACTACAAATAAATTATACAAAGAAAATAAGAAATCCCACAAACACATGGAGGCTTCACAACATGCTCCTAAATAACTAATGGATCAATGACCCAATAAAAACAGAGATCAAGCTATATAGGGAGACAAATGACAACAATAATTCAACACTGCAAAATCGGTGGGATGCAGTGAAGGCCATGCTAAGAGGAAAGTATATTGCAATACAGGCCTACCTCAGGAAAGAGCAATCCCATATAAGCAGTGTAAACTCACAATTAATGAAACTAGAAAAAGAAGAACAAATGAAGCCCAAAGTAAGTAGAAGGAAAGACATAATAAAGATTAGAGCAGAAATAATAAAAAAGTAAGAATAAAACAATAGAAAGAATCAATGAAAGCAAGACCTGGCTCTTTGAGAAAATAAAAAAAATAGATAAACCCATAGCCAGACTTATCAAGAAAAAAGGAGAGTCTACACACATAAACAGAAACAGAAATGAGAAACAAAATTCACTACAGACACCACAGAAATACAAATATTTATTAGAGAATACTATGAAAAATTGTATGCTAACAAGCTGGAATACCTAGAAGGAATGGACAACTATCTGGAAAAATACAACCTTCTAAGTCTGATCAAGGAAGCAACAGAAAATCTGAACAGACCGATTGCTAGCAAAGAAATTTAACTGGTATTCAAAAAACTAGCTAAGAACAAAATTCCTGGACCATATGGCTTCACCGCTGAATTTTATCAAACATTTAGTGAAGACCTAATACCCATTCTCCTTCAAGTTTTCCAAAAAGTAGAAGAGGAGGGAATACTTCTAGAGTCATTCTATGAGGCCAGCATCACTCTAATACCAAAACCAGGGAAAGACCCCATAAAAAAAGAAAATTACAGACCAATATCCCTGATGAACATAGATGCAAAAATACTCAACAAAATATTAGCAAACTCAATTCAAAAATACATCAAAAAGATCATCCACCATGATCAAGTAGGATTTATTCCAGGGATGCAAGGATGGTACAACATTCGAAAATCCATTAACAAAATCCACCACATCAACAAAAGAAGGACAAAAACCACACGATCATCTCCATAGATGCTGAAAAAGCATTTGACAAAATTCAACATCCTTTGATGAAATAAACTCTCAACAAAATGAGTATAGAGGGCAAGTACCTCAACATAATAAAGGCCATATATGACAAACCCACAGTCAACATTATACTTAACAGCGAGAAGCTGAAAGCTTTTCTTTTAAGATTGGAAGAAGACAAGGATGCCCACTTTCCCCACTTCTATTCAACATAGTACTGGATGTCCTAGCCATGGCAATCAGACAACACAAAGAAATAAAAGGCATCTAGACTGGCAAGGGAGAAGTTAACCTGTCCCTCTTGGCAGATGACATGATATTGTACATAAAAAATCCTAAAGAATCCACTCCAAAACTACTAGACCTAACATCTGAATTCAGAAAAGTTGCAGGATACAAAATTAATACACAGAAATCTGTGGCATTCCTATACACTAACAATGAACTAGCAGAGAAAGAAATCAGGAAAATGATTCCATTCACAACTGCATCAAAAATAATAAAATACCTAGGAATAAACCTAACCAAGGAAGCAAAAGACCTATACCCTGAAAACTATAAGACCCTCTTAAGAGAAATTAAAGAGGACAGTAACAAATGGAAATTCTGCCCATGCTTTTGGGTAGGAAGAATTAATTTTGTCAAAATGGCCATCCTGCCTAAAGCAATCTACAGATTCAATGCAATTCCTATCAAAATACTAACAACATTCTTCAACAAACTAGAGAAAATCATCCTAAAATTCATATGGAACCACAAAAGACTTCGAATAACCCAAGCATTCCTGAGAAGGAAGAATAAAGCAGGGCGGATTATGCTCCCCATCTTGAAGCTCTACTACAAATCCACAGTAATCAAGGCAATTTGGTACTGGCACAAGAACAGACCCATAGACCAATGGAATATACTAGAGAGCCCTAATATAAACCCAACCATATATGGTCAGTTAATATATGATAAAGGAGCACAGACATACAATGGAGAAATGACAGCCTCTTCAACAGTTGGTGTTGGCAAACTGGACAGCTACATGCAAGAGAATAAAACTGGATTATTTTTTAACTCCATACACAAAAGTAAACTCAAAATGGATTAAAGACTTGAATGTAAGTCATGAAACCATAAAACTCTTAGATGATGACATTGGCAAACATCTAATGAATATAAGCATGAGCAACATCTTCCTGAATGCATCTCCTTGAGAAAGGGTAACAAAATGAACTCATGGGACTACATCAAACTAAAAAGTTTTTGTATGGCAAAGGGCATCATCAACAGAACAAAAAGGCATGCTACAGTATGGGAGAATATATTTGTAAATGACATATCCCACAAGGGGTTAACATCCAAACTATATAAAGAACTTACACCCCTCAACACCCAAAAAGCAAATAACCCAATTAACAAATGGGCAGAAGATATGAAGAGACAGTTCTCCAAAGAAGAAATTCAGATGGCCAACAGACACATGAAAATATGCTCCACATCACTAATCATCAGGGAAATGCAAATTAAAACCACAATGAGGTATCCCCTCACACCAGTAAGGATGGCCAGCATCGAAAAGACAAAGAACAACAAATGCTGGCAAGGATGCGGAGAAAGGGTAACCCTCCTACACTGCTGGTGGGAATGTAATCTAGTTCAACCATTGTGGAAAGCAATATGGAGGTTCCTCAAAAAACTAAAAATAGAAATACCATTTGACCAGGGAATCCCACTGCTTTACCCAAATTTACCCAAAGAATACAAGTTCTCAGATTCAAAAAGACATATGCACCCCTATGTTTATCGCAGCACTATTTACAATAGCCAAGAAATGGAAGCAACCTAAGTGTCCATCAGTAGATGAATGGATAAAGAAGAGGTGGTACATGCACACAATGGAATACTATTCAGCCATAAGAAAGAAACAAACCCTACCATTTGCAACAACATGGATGGAGCTGGAGGATATTATGCTCAGTGAAATAAGCCAGGCAGAGAAAGACAAATGCCAAATGATTTCCCTCATTTGTGGAGTATAACAACGAAGCAAAACTGATGGAACAAAACAGCAGCAGACTCATATACTCTAAGAAGGGACTAGGGGATACCAAAGGGGAGGGGTTTGGGAGGGAGGGTGGGGAGGGAGGGAGAAGTGGATTGAGGGGTATTATGTTTAGTACACATGGTGTGGGGGATGATGGGGAGAACAGTGTACCACAGAGGAGGCACATAGTGAATCTGTGGCATCTTGCTGCACTGATGGACAGCGACTGCATTGGGGTATGGGTGGGGCCTTGATAATATGGGTAAATGCAGTAACCACATTGTTTTTTCATGTGAGACCTTCATAAGAGTGTATATCAATCATACCTTAATAAAAAATATTTTAAAAAATCAGTGAAGTAGAATTTCATAATGGTTGATGAGTATAATTTTGTTCTTAATTAAATTGATGTAAGGTGATTGAGAAAAATAGAGAACATTTCAAATAGTGGCAATGGCATTAATAAAGGCATGGTGACCGAGGGGAGCAAGATGTATTAATGAGAGTGATTTGACTGAAAAGTAGGGCAATATTATGTAGAATGAGAAATAAATGTATGGAAATATATGAATGTTAGGCTAAGGAGTTAAGGATGTATAACTTTAATTTCCAGAAGCAAAGTAAACTGGAAGCTTTACCAACCTTCTCCCTCTGAAAACAATCAACCGGGAAATCTGGTTTACAAATAAAACAATAGCCTTTTGGTTTGGGAAAAGATGGCATAGACTCATCTATCCCAGCTCCTTCTATAAAGTGCAAGTAAAAAGCCTAGAAATAATAAAACAGTCATAGGTGAACCTTCAAGGGTGAGAAGGAAAAGAAGACTTCCTGGGGGACCCAAGGGCTTGAGGAAAAATACAATGACCACCCACCTAAGGGCAGAAGCGAAACCAGCCCAAAGTCTCTTGACTCTCCAAGGGTAAGAATACATACCAGGCTCAGTGTCTTCATAGAGTGGTAGCCCCACCAGCACTAGATAGACAAAACAGGACCTGGGAAACATTCTGTCCCACAGGTCCACCTACTCCCAATCAGGACCTAGCAGCACCCAGTGGCCTAGAAACGCACATCCTGTCCCTTCCGGAAGCACTAGGAAGAATCAAGAGACAACTCTCCCCATACCAGGTAATCTGACAAAGAGTGTTCTACATGTCCTATCAAGGCCAGTGTTTCCTGCCTCCTCTTACGAGCATCATGCCTGGGGAAGCACATTTAAAGAAGAATTAAAATCACCCTTTACACCATCTCTTTCAGATGAAACACTTCCCAATTCATTTTATGAGGCCATTATTACCCTGATACCAAAACCAGACGATGGTAGTACAAAGAAAGAAAACTTCACACCAATATCTTGCATGAACTTAAGTCTCAAAATACACCAACAAAATATTAGCAAGATACCGTGTAAAAGTGGTATTAATTCTTCTTGAACTGTTTGGCAGAACTCTCCAGATTTTTCTACCTGAATCTACAGATATCTTTTTCAGGAAAATTTCAATTGCACATACACTTTTTAAAAAAGTTATAGGGTTATTCAGATTGTTTATCATGCTAAGTTTGGTGTTTGTGATTTTTGAGGAATTGATTCATTTCTACTAAGTTGTTGGAATTATGAGCCTAAAGTTGTAGGTAGTATTGCCTTACTATCTTTTAATGGCTACAGGATCTGTAGTGGTATCTCCTATTTTATTTCTGATATTGTTGATTTGCATCTTCATTTAATTTTTTCAGTCTTGCAAGACTTACTAATACTGTTGATTATTTTCACAAAACCAGCTTTCTTTGATTTTCTGTTTTCCTTTGTTTAATTTCATTGATTTCTGTTCTTACCTTTATTATTTCTTTCCTTTTGCTTGCTTTGGTTTTATTTTACTCCTTCTAGTTTCTGGAATATGGACTCAGATTATTGATTTGAGACTTCACACCCCATAATTTTCTAACATTATTTTTAAATCCACAAATCAGCAAAATGAAAAAAAGACATTAGGGGATGACATTTCATTAGTAGGTAAATGAACCAGTCCAGGTGAACAAAATGGACAAGCTGAGATGAGTAAACAGAGGACATAGAAGAATATTTCATGATGGTTGCACCCAAAACAGAGTGTTTCAGGGAAAAATAATTACCGAAAATGAAAAAATCAACAAGGCCAAGCAGGAATAGAACTGTTAAGGAGATATAGGAGCACAAAATGTAAGATATGAAGTGAGATTCAGTTTACATAAGAGAATATAATAAGAAAACATTTTTGAAGATTATTGAAGAGGAATTATAAGGATGAGGAAGCTGTACTCAAGCATGAAGGTTAAGTAGAGGAGCCTAGCAGTTCATAATGCCTGCCAGGGTTAGACTCATTATTTACCGTTTACTAGATGTGAAAACTGGGACAAATTTCTTATCTTCTTTAAGCTTCCATTCTCCATCTCTAAAGCAAGGAATGATAAAAATTACAACTAACTGCATTATTGTGAAGATTAAATGAGGTAATGTGTAGTCACTTAGTAAGATGCTTACACACAGTAGAAACAAGAAATATTTGCTAATGTTATAACTCTGGTTACATCTTTATATGTGCTCAGTACATATATTGAGTATCTACTAAATTGTCTTTATAATTCTCCAAACGTTTTTGTTTTCTTACTGTTTTTAACGTCATCGTCCCATACTTCCCCACCTCCCAAATCATGACATAAAGGATCTTTTTTCCTTACCTTAAGTTATCTTCTAGTTGGCTTGTTCACCTTGGCAAGGAAACTGAGACTTGGGGAAACTCAGTTAAGTTGTTCAAAGGCATACAGATGACACATGGTGGAATTGTCTAGGTAATTATTACCTGATGAGAAAATGAATGGAGGAAAATAAGGAATTAGAATTCTTTAAAGCTTTAAAAGTTTAACTATGTTTAAATAAGCAGGAAAAACAACACATCTATAAGGAGGTAAAATGTCAAATTTGACTCAGAAAAAAATATTAGCTGTTTCCTTTATACCCTGTGTTCAGGTGCCCTGACTTTCCTTAGGATTTTGCCAGCTTTATTATTGTGAAATGCCTTGACTGTTCATAAGTTAGGAATCTGTAAGAGGACAAAAGGCATCTCTTTAGATTGGAAAAATATTGATTAGCTGAATCAGTTCGGTAGGATGGTATTAGTACAATGGCATTTTAGATAGAGGATGGGGTACTATGGGTGGGCTTGTCAGTATAAACTGAGGAGTTATTTGTTCAAATTATACATGTCAAAGGATTTGGACATAGAGCAGTTTAAAACATCTCTCCAGATGCAACTTATATGTGCAAAAAGACCCTTATGTTTCTATATTTGGTACTCTTTTCCTATAGAGTCTTTGTTTTGCCCTGTGGTGGTATACTGAATCTTATGAATTCAGGATGAACTCAGGTAATTCAGGGTTTTCTATTCAGGGTAACCTATTTCAGGGTAAATTCATTATATTTATGGTTTGTCTCCCCTTTTCCTCTAAAGATGCATTCTATTCACCTGATTTCTTCTGATGTTTCTTTTAGAAATCAAAAGCCCCTGTGCTTGTGGGAGTGAGGATTTGATAATATGGGCAACTGTTGAACCACTGTGTTGTCTACTTGAAACTAAAGTAAGACTGTATATCAATTTAAAAAATCAAAAACCAGAAATTTTGAGATTCATAAACCTGTTCTTGTAAACTGCTACCTCTCCTGTGAACTTCACAGCCTATTCTGAAATCTGTTCTGAAACTCAAAAGCTAAACATTGACTCCTTCCTTTCTCTTTGAATTTCTGTCATAACTACTGTACCCTGAAGGCAGTGAGTATATAATAATTCCCTTCCAGTTGCATGAATGGGATAGAATAGGAATAGCAAGAAATAACAAAAAGCATTTATGTCATATTTTACAAATCTACCAAATAAAATTAAAATATTTGTCCTAAGCCCTTACAACCAATACGGTGTTCTACATGTAAACTTGAACTAGAAGATCAGAATCTTCCCCTGTTCACAGCTTCCCAAATGGTATAGCACATTGATGTGCTCTGAATAGGTTCCAGATGTGAGAAGATATTGCACTCTTCAGCCCAGGGTGGCCTCTCATTTTTAGCAGCTTGATACTAATCTTACCATTAAAAAAATAAAGTTAGGAAGCATCATCCCAACCTATCTCTTTTCCTATTCCTTTATTTAATCCTTTTAAATGCATTTATATAACAGCAAGTCTAGACCAACCAGAGGTAGATGAGCATGAAAAGCAGAATAAACCAATTCACTGAGAGCAGCCAAACAAAGATGAGTTCAAGCAATAGGAAGGTGGTTAGGGTGGGAGTGGAAATCAGCCCCAGTAACTCTGCTGCAGAGACAGTCTGCCAATCTCTAGAATTCTTTGAAAGGGGGAAAAAAAACAGAAAAATTAGGGTACCAGAAAGAAAGTCAAGGGAGCAGGTCATCAGCCCCAGTTATTAGAATTACAGCCTGATTTGAATGCAGGGCCCCAAGTAAGGCTACAGCTCCTGAGACACTGAATTATTGGTGTGAGAATCTTCAGATTCTCCTGCCTTAGAAAAGAAATGGACCGAGAATCCAGAGTAGGGCTGAATCTCAGAAAGATTTAGTGTTAGGAAGCAAGGAAAATTGTTACATACTGAGAGAACTGATCCGAAGAGAAATTCACAAATGTTGAGAAAATGGTGGCTTTTCTTTCCTTTTCTTTTTTTTTTTTCCCGGTGAAAGGGTTATACCTAACTTTATTTCCACAGTGACAGGTCAATCACTAGAATCTCATTTACTCAAAGCGAGTCTGCATACAGCAAGCCGGTCTGTGCCACTGGGCCTCTCTACCCACACAGCCATCCTCTGAGCCTCTCTGCCCATACAGCTGTCCCAGTCTCTGTCCTCTGTTCTCCCGCAGTCTTTTTTTTTTTATTAAGGTATGATTATTATACACTCTTATGAAGGTCTCACGTGAAAAAACAATGTGGTTACTGCATTTACCCATATTATCAAGGCCCCACCCATACCCCAATGCAGTCGCTGTCCATCAGTGCAGCAAGATGCCACAGATTCACTATGTGCCTCCTCTGTGGTACACTGTTCTCCCCATCATCCCCCACACCATGTGTACTAAACATAATACCCCTCAATCCACTTCTCCCTCCCTCCCCACCCTCCCTCCCAAACCCCTCCCCTTTGGTATCCCCTAGTCCCTTCTTAGAGTATATGAGTCTGCTGCTGTTTTGTTCCATCAGTTTTGCTTCGTTGTTATACTCCACAAATGAGGGAAATCATTTGGCATTTGTCTTTCTCTGCCTGGCTTATTTCACTGAGCATAATATCCTCCAGCTCCATCCATGTTGTTGCAAATGGTAGGGTTTGTTTCTTTCTTATGGCTGAATAGTATTCCATTGTGTGCATGTACCACCTCTTCTTTATCCATTCATCTACTGATGGACACTTAGGTTGCTTCCATTTCTTGGCTATTGTAAATAGTGCTGCGATAAACATAGGGGTGCATATGTCTTTTTGAATCTGAGAACTTGTATTCTTTGGGTAAATTTGGGTAAAGCAGTGGGATTCCCTGGTCAAATGGTATTTCTATTTTTAGTTTTTTGAGGAACCTCCATATTGCTTTCCACAATGGTTGAACTAGATTACATTCCCACCAGCAGTGTAGGAGGGTTACCCTTTCTCCGCATCCTTGCCAGCATTTGTTGTTCTTTGTCTTTTCGATGCTGGCCATCCTTACTGGTGTGAGGGGATACCTCATTGTGGTTTTAATTTGCATTTCCCTGATGATTAGTGATGTGGAGCATATTTTCATGTGTCTGTTGGCCATCTGAATTTCTTCTTTGGAGAACTGTCTCTTCATATCTTCTGCCCATTTGTTAATTGGGTTATTTGCTTTTTGGGTGTTGAGGCGTGTAAGTTCTTTATATAGTTTGGATGTTAACCCCTTGTGGGATATGTCATTTACAAATATATTCTCCCATCTGTAGGATGAAATGGTGGCTTTTCTTATCCAAGGGTATTTATGACTGCATGAGTTCCAGAATAGGAATTTTTAAATCTAGGGAGAGCCAGGGACACAAAACTGTCTATCTCTTACTGATGAGATCTTCACAGATGTATTTTCTCAAGTTCTTGTTTCCTCACAGATCAAAAAAATAGAGAAAAAGTATTTGGAACTAAAACATGCAATGTTTCTCTCATATGGCCATCACATGAAGAAAGTGTCTGGTACCACCATTACCCAGACCAGGCATCTCATTCCCATCTTCCTAAGTCATCACCAATAACGCCAAGGCTCCTAAGTTCCCTATCCTCTGTGATGCTCTGTATTTCCTTGCCCATGACTGAAACAACTCCCTCTCTCAGATCCTTTTACTAGGCCCTCTGTTAGTGGACCTTGGTCCATATTTAGCAAATGATCATATACAAACTACTCAGAATACATGTGAGCATTATGTTCATTTTCTTGTGTTACCTGAATCCTACCTCTTCCCTAAAGCCCCTTCTCCTACAGTACTCTAAAGTGATTCTGATTTTCTACCACACCATGGATTGAGTGTCAAGGTTGTGTCCACTTTGATCTACATTAGCATTTTCAATCATTGCCATTCCATCTTCTTCTTTTAAATAAAACAAACAAAAACAGCAAAAACAAATTCCTGTTTTGTTGCTAATTATGCCATTCCATTACACCATTCTCACGGTCACCTACAATCTCCCTGCCACTCCCCTTTCTTTATTAAAACCTTGCTGTCAGGATCATAGTTGTTTTGTTTTGTTTTTCCCTTTCAGAATCTCTGCCTTCACCTGGGAGACTCTCATACCTACATGTATCTTGCATTTAATACCAACACTTCTCAGTTCTTCAACTAATGCCAATAACTTATTCCTCCTCTCCATGTGGGTCAGTCATTTCCACAATCCTGACTTGGACCTCACCATCATTTACAACCTTTCTAAGCAAAAGAACTCACTAAAGTCTTTCCTTCTCGGATTTCAGCCTCCAGTCCTTCCAGATTTTTTGTTCAACTGCTTATCCTATAGACATAGCTCAGGGTCATGGAGACTTCTAGTCTACTGATTCCTCTATTTTTTCCCATTCACTCAGATTCTCCCTTCTATCTCTTGCCTGTTTATCCAACAAAGAGGTCATGGCCCATAATTTCAATAATATTCAAGAACTATTTCTAATTTAAGTTTATACTTACTAACATTAAGTAGGATTTCAATACTACTTAATATCCTTAGAATGTTTCCTGATTTAAGTCACTATTTCAAAGCTTCTCTACTATCCTCAAATTTCTGACTTCCTCTCCCATTCTGTGTCTATGCAGAAAGTGGCAGAAGGGATCAGAGATCTGAGAAAAGAGGATAGAAATTTTCAGAAGGAAGTGTTCTCATTTCCTCAATACAAAATCCACACATGTACTTAAATCTTCAAACAGGTTATCATTCTTCTTGCCAATAAGGACAAAGGAGCTGCCTTTCATTCTGTCTAAAGCTAAGTTTTCCACATTATTTACACTTAATGTCTCTTCTTTATCTCCCACTCACCCACTTCAGTTTAGCTTCCTGCCCCATCCCTCCATAAAAATACATCTGCTTAATGTCATCAGTGCCACTAAATGAGACAGACTTTACAGTTCCTCATCTCATCAGCAATGTTCACTCTTCAAACACAAAATCCTTGAAACGTTCTTTTTCTTTACCATATACAGTATAATACTTTAATACTTTTCTACCTCTCTGCCCATTACATGTTATATACTCTTTTTTTTTATGCACTTGGGTATATATGCTAATTGAAGCAATGGGGGAAAATTATAGAATGAGAAGCCAGTGGGATCTATGAGCAAACTTTGTTCAGTTCTAAGATGTAACATGTAATGGCTGGGTAAATGAGGATGAGCCTGCAAAGGAGCAGAGAAGGAATGGGCAGAGAAGCAGAAAACTACTAACAGTCAAGTCTTGTATATATTGCATACATATTGTGGTAAGTATTGTGTGTGTGTAGATAGATACAGATACAAATATATAGATAGATACAGATCAGACATCTGATATCTGTGAGTCAAAGCAGTATATTCAACTACTTTTTCTACATTTTAGTTGTTTTAAATTTACCTCAGACCAATACTGAACACACCACATGCACACACACACACACACACACACACACACACACACGCACACACACACACATCCCATCAAATACAACTCTCTTCCAGGATCTCGTATTATCAAAATGCATACTTGACACCACCTCATACCTACCTAATTGCTAATCCAGCACTAAATCTCATGGGTTTTACCTTCCAAATCTGTTACATCTATCCAGTTCTCTCAATCTCCACTGCTACTGCCCTAATACAAGTCAGTATCCTTTAAGTGACTACAACAGCTTCCTAATTTTTTCTCATCATATTCATTACCACCCCTTTCCTATCATTTCCTACTGCTGCCAAAAATTTTTAATGCAAACCTTATCAGTGGCCCTTCTTTCAATTAAAAAGCTTTCAATGCTCTCCCATTGCTTTTAGGATAAGGTTAGAACTCCTTAACATTTGCAACAACCCTCTGTGTGGTCTGGCCTTTGCCTACCTTTCAAGGTTTTCTTGCCATGTTCCCTCACAGCCCCAAGGCCTTTGCTCATGCTACCTCTTGTATTTTGGAACATTTTATCCCATGCCCCTCCAAGTCATTCAGCAGATCTCAAGTCAAATTCCTTTCTGGTACTCTTGCCTTCTTCAAGCATCAATCCTAGTTTGTAGCTGTTTGTTTGCATGGTTATTATTGCCTCTATTTTCCCTCTGGAATCCAGACTTTAAGCTTTACAAGTCATATCTGGTTTTGTCCACCTTATATTCCCTACCGCCCAGTGAATAATTGTTGAACGGACGAATGAATGAACAGACACTTTACCAACAGTGAAATTTACCAAGTAAGAGTTTAGTTCTTTTGGCCACTCCTTTCCAGATATTCTTTTCTCTTTAACTTCCTTGGCCCCTTAATGTTCTAAAATCTTTCTCTTACATTCTTTTCTAGTTCTAAAAGTTTAGTTTTTAAGAAGTGAAGTGGCAGCCCATTGAAACTTAGGAGTGACAGGCAAATAAGACTCAATAGTTTTCTCCCAGTGGAATTTATCTTTTAAAAATGAATTCAATCTTATAATTAAAGCAAAGAAGTTCTGTTGTGAGAGTTTTTCTATTAGCCAGCTAAGTACAAAAAGGCTCTGAACTGACACGAGAAGATCTACTGAAGAAACAGTTTTTTCCTTACTCAATTATTGTGAAATCTATTTCTTATTCATGATGTAAATTTAAGTTTATTTTGGATTCTTCTAGAAACTTGATTTCACTGGGGTTTAGCCAGATAATTAATTTTGTTTGTGATATCTCAGAGCCAAGCATGACTTAATTTTTCCCATTTCCACAGAATGTAACACATTCATTTTCATTTCCTAAGTGCCTTGAGTAGTAATTATTGTGGAAGTGGTTATTGTCCAGACAGTATACAAATTATGTCAATTGCTGTATAGATACTCAGACAGATATAAATATCAATTTTTATGATACCTATATTATTAGTTAGGACAAATGATCACAGCAGACTATTCTTCCTGCTCTCCCAAGACCTATAGATCCAATAAGACTTAGCACTGGAGCTGACAAATTTGTCCTGGCTTTGTGACTTGTAGGAGGCCATACATTATGTTTGCTGGGAAGTCTAATCCCTGCATTAACCTAGTAGGAAAAAGAAATCCACTAGTAGCTGAGAATCTGATTGTTATGTGGCTGCATTAAAATGAGAGAAAACGTAGTGCTGTTAGCCCATGGTTTCCTTCAGTCACCACAGGGTAATAAAAGCAACATATTTTTAAATTACCATTTCTTACTAGAATGTAGAAATATTAGCCTCCAGATACCCATTTAAAAGCTTAAACCAGAGGGTGGAAAATACCTAACTGAACTGAAGTAGAGGAGAGAACAATCTGAGTAAAGTGATTTGGAGACATCTGATACAAGGAAAGGGTACATATAAGACTCCAAGAGAAAGGAAAGGAAGGCAGAACTCAACTACTAAAGCCTCTGAAAATGTCAGACATATCTGAGAAAATGACATCAAGTCAATAATGACCAGATTCACATCTTATTTCAGGAGATGGCTGGAAATCATAGAGTGGAATTTCTAGCATCAGATGCGAAATTGCTTCCTTAAGTGAAAGTGACTTTGATACCTTAAATTTCCATGGTGTCTTTCTTTTCAAAGAAAGTTTTCTCAGACTAAGGCTTGCAACTACAGAGACTTAGTGGTTAGCAGAAACTTGCAAAGAGAAAAAAATGTCCCAAGGCACCTTGTCTTCTTTCTCCTTTCTTCCAGCTCAATTTCACAATCTTCACCACACCCCCTCAAACTTAACCACCATATACCACAAGAAAAACACAAAATTAATGCACCACACATATGATCCCTTCTTGTGGAGTAGAGGAACAAACTGTTCCCAGGATCAATTTTCTCTTTCGAGGGCATCCCACTATATCCATTCATTATTGAGCAAAAAGCCTATTGAGCAATCATGTTTTGCTGGACATTTACAGGCCCTACAGGCTAAAAGCATGTGCAAGATATACAAGATTCAGCCAGATTCTATATCTTGCATATTCAGTCCCCTACTGGTTAGAGATAAATAAAATAAACCAAAATTGATACTTTGTGAAAAGTGGCAGTAAACACAGACTATTAAAAGTAGGATTTACATTTGTTGGTCCAACATAATTACTAATATCACCCTTTTTTTAACCTTTGAAAATGTCCTTTAGATGTTAAGTTCTATGACCATCCTTGCTATAGAGTCTAAGAGGAGGTACATCTAATCCAGTTCTGGAGAGTCAGAGGCAACCTCCCAGAGGAAGCCATGGTTAAAGGCCAAAACCTAAAGGATGAGTAGGCGGTGACACCTGGACAAAAATGAGATGCAAAGAATTGTGCTCATAGCAAAGAATACATACGAAAAAACCCAGAGGGAGGATGTGCTGACACGCTGAACAAAAGCAAGTATGGCTGAGGTATTTCCAGAATGGGAGAGCGTGTGCAAGATGAGGTAATAGATCAGGCAGGAATCAAAGCCAAGTTTCTGTGACTTGAGCAAGCTGTAGCCTCTGTGACTTTGCTCCCCCTAACACACGCCTCCTCCATAAATCCGCCTGGCTCTCTCTCTCACTTCAGTGTAGCCTATGTTAAAATGTCACCTAACTGGAGAGACCTTCTTTAGCCTTCCAATCTAAAATATCATTCCTCCCCATCATTCTCTATCCCCTCATTTGCTTCATTTTTCTTCATAGCACTTATCACTACTTGATATATTATTTATCATCTTTTTTTCTCAGTAGAATGTAAGCTACATGAGAAGCTCTTTATCTGCTGTTTTCATTGCTGTGTCCCCAGTACCTAAAATGATTCCTGGTATATTAGTTATTTGATAAATATCTGGTAAATGAAAAGCACATAGACGAGTGCCTGACATATTATAAGAACTCAAAAAAATATTAGCTATTTTTTATGAAGTATGAAAAGGGTAGAAGCGATCATAAAAAGATAAAATTAAACTTGAATGTCTGAATATCACAGTTATCATTGACAGGAAACTGGATTTGAGTCCCTGCTGGAAACATGCCGTAAAAGGAGAGACTGAGCCACTTCCTGGGGTGGGCTATACCAAGTTTAGACCACAGGTCTATTCTTTCACAAGTTTTCTCTTAGGATGAACTGACATATGCCTTTCTAAGTTCTTCCATCTCTTCCAACCTTCTTAAAAACACAAAGTAAATCCCATCTGGAGAGCAATACTCTGCTATTGTGTTTCTTTACTCTTAATCAGACAGAAAGACTTAATTCTTTGAGCTGCACTTCATGAAGTTGTTAGCCTTTTAAAATATCAGACACTTGATCTGAAGGAACTGCATACCCTGTAAAGTTGTGTGGTAATGGGTCTCTTAGTTTATGAGTGAGCCAAGCTAACTTCCCAACTTATTTATCTTAACATGGCTCTGTTTCTTGATCAAATTTGCATATATATTTTATGGGATTGAAGTACATGTTACAGTGATAATAGAATACATGGGGATACCCAGAAATTTAGTAGTTTTTCCTAGCGACTATTGCAGGTCTTAAGTACAGTTCTTAGATGCGTGGTCATAATACTCTACTGCCACCTGGTGACATCATGTTGTCCACTCAGCATCAATTTATGATCCAACCCCCTCCACCCTAGTGTATGTAGGATTCCACTACCAGTTTGAATGAGCTCGCGATCAATATCCATGCTCTACGCATTCTCAAATTAAAGTAATGAGACCAGTCTTTATGTGAATCGTTCTAAGTGAAAAAAAAAAGATATCCATTCTACTGGAACAGAGAGTAAAAATTAAAAAGAGATAACATAATCTTTAAGCAAATTCAATGTATTAAACCATGATTCAATGATTTTTGGAACATAAGACCTTTCCATTTGGTATTAAGGCATTTAAATATTCTATGTATCTGATTAAAACTAAAATTTGACTAAACAAAATGTTTTAGAGAAAGTGTTCTATATTTTTAGAATCAGTATTTTTATTTTGTTTTAACTTTTTATTTTAAAATAATTAGAGATTTATAGAAAGTTTCAAAGATAGTAAGAAGATGTCCCAGGTACCCTTCACCCAGTTCCCACTTATGGTTTACATCTTAGGTAATCATACTATAATATCTAAACCAGAAATGACATCGGTCATTTTATAACACGTAATTAAACACCAGAATAATGATATAGAAATAACTATACCATCTACCACAAAGGTCCTTTGTGCTATTCCTGTAGAGTCTGCACACTTCCCTTCACACTACTCACTACCATAGCTAACCTCTAGCAAATACTAATCTGTTCTGACAAAATAATTTTATCATTTCAAGAATACTATAAAAATCGAATCATATAAAGTATGACATTTTGAGATTTTTTTTTACACTCAGCATAATGTTCTTGAGATCCATCCAAGTTCTTGTATGTTATAGTTTATTCCTTTTTATTGCTGAGTAGAATTTCATGGCATGGATGTGCCCACAGTTTGTTTAACCATTCACCTCCTATAGACATTTTGTTTGTTTTCAGTTTGGGGCTATTACCAATAAGCCTTCTATGAACATTTGCATGTATGTTTTTGCATGTCTGAGAGTGCTCAGAGACAGGTGTATCTGTCTCTCCTTTGCAATTCCATGATGGTTTTACACAAAGGGTAAAGAAAAAAAAGGCCTAACATATACTAGAAACTTTGTTTAAAGTCCCAAATCAAAGTCCAATTAAAGACTTTAGGTTGCAGAAAATTATCTGTAAAAAGTGGGCCACCACTACTATCACCACCATTCTATCCTTGTATGTGTAAGTGCCTGTATCATTTGGGCCTTATATTGAGTGTGATTTTAATACCATAGATTAAAACATCAACTAGGAAATGTTAAGAGCTCTTAACCAACCACTGTACATGCCTTGGTATATGCTGCAGCAGGGAAATCTGTCCAGTGATCCTACTTTGACCTAATCCAATCGAGATTAAAGGTCATGCATTGAGTGAATATGTGTGAGAGGAAGATTTAATGGACAAAAAAAAGAA